GGAGTTTTTCAGTTTCTCCGCTTCTTCGAGCAAATAAATGCAACCAACAGCCGAAGTTAGAGCGTTCATAACGTGCCTGCCATTCATAAGTGACGGGAAACACACAGTTCACATTTTGATAGGGAGGTCCACTAAGCACGTGCATCAGCTTATATTATATATATTATATTATATTATATACTTACAACGCGACAGCAAAAAATATCGATAACTGGTGGTGGCTGTCAAACCATTTAAATCGCTGTCAGTGGTATGTTTCGAACTCTCACTCCTATCGCTCTTATTCAACTTTGGTGATTGGTTACTTCTCTGTCGTCTCCAGCTATCCCAATAAGGCTTTATGCTCACCACCATTTCCATTTGATTGGGTGAACAGCGAGTCCGTGTGACTACGAAGAACAAAAAACAGTTTCCCTCACCTAAAGATCAAGACTGCTGGGTGGGGAGTTCTTGAATTCCACCTTCAAACCCTCTATGGTCTTGATGGCCTAGATGTGGATAAATAGGTTTTGGTTAAAAGCTGACGAACCTCGCGTGAGACATGACATGCTACATCATGCCTCAAAATAACTAATTCTTCAGAAAAGCTTGGAAGAACAGATTGAGAGCTATTTTTAGTATAAGATTTGCAAAATTCACACTGCTCATGTGTCCGTCAAAAGCCCGGCGTTTGCATTTAGTAAAACGTGTGAGCCGGAGTCTGCCTGCCTGCCCGCCCGCCTTCCTATATACTGATCGTTCCTACTTGTTCCCCGGTTTGTGTACCGGCTACATATTTGCTGTTCACAATAAACTTACTGCTTCATTTGTTGTGTGCTAATTTGCCTACTAAATTTAGGACACCACAAGTGGTGTAAGTTAATTACAATACAGATCATGGAAAGGGGTGAAAATGGAATTTGTGCTGTCAGTGGAATCACCTACTTGGAATATTTTACCCCGAAACTATATCCAAAGACGCCTAATATACACCCCATATAACTTCAGATACGTAAAATTCTTATTGGAATTTGGTTTCACGATCGCATCTATGAAACCTAATCTGAGGAAATATTTAATTTTTCAATATAATGCACTATGCCAAAATCCAAACAAGGCCCTAAGTCAACGAATCAATTCCTTAATATGTACACACTATTACAACTCTGAGATCTTGAAGAACCCTATGACAAAACGAAACGAGAGAAGGGTCGGGAGCAACAAGCAAACACAAGCATTTCCACATAAATGCGACCGGGACGCACCGACGAGTTTGCTCATTGACCACATAATTCGCCAACCAGCTGTTCAGTGCCCATGTAAGGCTTTTTCGATGGATATATTTATCATGCAAGTGTAACCGATATGCAAAGCAACCCATTCCAACACCGGGACGTTGTAGGCCATGATAGACGGCTGAATCCCAGTTGACCGGCAGTTGAATTCCTAAGCATGGAAAACAGAATGAATCGAGAGACAAAAGATGGAAACGCTTAGATACAATAGGAGTGAAAAACAGGTGTTTTCGCGAGTAAAACAATGCCATCGATAAACGAGAGCAACAAATCGGATATCAACTGAGAACTGATTAATTGTACACCTCACAAACACACTACAATGAGAATTCGATTACCGTTATATTAACTAATGAACATCGTCACTATGTATTGGAAACTACGTGAGTTCGGATGACATGCGACCTAATAGTGGTTATCGGTAACATGGTGCATAAGGTCTTTCTATCATAACTCTGAATACAAGTACGCTTATATAGTGGCAATCATGACTTAAAACAGCGAAAAGAATAGTGTTCACGGTACTTCAATTCGGTTATCTTAGGGATGTAACAGAATGAACTGGGGAAAACTACGACTAAACTGTTTCCCACTTTCCATTTTTACCCGTGACCATGAGGACAGATGCATACTTCTCAAGTACCCTATTTATTATTAAGGATCTTATGGATGGAATTAAAGGCTGCTAAGAACGGCCTCGACGATCGCACGAACCTCTTATATACAGACCTTTTGGAATACCTGACCCACTCAAATACCCTATTTCGTTTTCACGTACATCCTATCACACTCCGATCCCTCATTTGACCTGGTTTACTATACAAATAGAACTGAATGCAAATTACTACAGGAGAAACACTTTTGTTTTAGTGTATTTTACTACTATCATTTTTCAA